AGTTTCTTTGCTTACGTATTCATATCCTGTGACAATATGATTTTGAAATTTAGTCAGTTCATCTAAAACTGAGTTCAGTTTATCGACGTAATCGGTTTTGTTGGTTGGAACTAGTCCTCCCACATGAATAATAAATATATATTTTAAGTAGGAAAATTGTATTCCTGACGTTTCACGGCATAATGCAAGCCACTACTTTCGAGAAAACAAATAACTGAAATAAATTAATATAAGCCAAAATAGTACAAATGAAACAATGTAGAATACCTTTAGTACAATCTAAAACATACTTAGTCTGAATATGTCAGTGTGAAGTTATTCTTGGTTAAGGTGAATTCGTATGACCTGCCAATGCATTAATTTCTGTTGCAGAATACGGGTACGAAAAATGTATGCATTTGTAATATGACTTAGTAGGGTTGAAATTAGGTGTGTATTTATGTAGATTGTGTGGAAAATAAATAAGATCAGATGTGGTTGCTTAGATAAACGGTTCAGGTTGCATGAATATTCAACCCTTCTTTCCTATCGTGGACATAGGAATTTAGCAGTACGTGAAGCTCTTCGTCTACTCGCCTCTCTTTATAGTTGGAAAAACATTTCTGAAATATTTTAATTTTTTTAATATCAATTTGGTGATTATTGAATGTAGCATATACTGATATTGTGGATTTACTATGTAAATTTTCCGATTTCACGGAACTGTTAGGTCATTTTGTGTAACTTAAACGTTCCTCGGCATGGATCGAGATCCCACGGGAAGACTCTCTAATCGGCACAACCTACTCGGCAAACATAATATTATGTGGAAGTGAACTGGATCTTTTCTTTTATTCTAACTAAAGAGTTTCCTAGATTATTAGTTGTCTTGTAGAAAGCGTTAATTTTGTACATTTTCAAAAGCCGCTTTAATTCTTATGTCGTATCTTCGCGGTAATGCAAAAACACAGTACCAATCCAAGATCTTTCTTTAGGATTATTATTTACAGAGGGACAGTTTTGTTTTAATATGTTTTAAATAATATATTTAGGGAAATTATTAAATCGCAAGATGTCTATCATATCCTCTTTTTCTTTATTTGTCTCTTTCTGAAATAATGATCATGTTTGCTCTTCTGAAAAGCTTGAGGACTAGGTAAATTTTCGCACTGAATGGATGTGCATATTTAAAATCGATATACCGATTTAAATGTGTCGGTTCTCGGTACATGGTTAGATTAAGATAACCATTAGAATTCATTATAACCAAAGAGTTTGAGAAAGGTAGTTTACTATGTTCATCTTCCTATTCAAAAGTAGATCGTCCGGAACCTGGGACCTCTACACAACTTATTCTTTAACAGAAACGACAAATAATTTCATATTTATAAAGCAAATATTAATATACTTGTTATATGTTAGTGTGTTGGTAATAGCTCACCATTGGAAGACGAGAACTATGCCTTAATTCAACCAATCCATGATATTGCTTAACCGTCTTCCATTGTCTTCGGTGAGTAACTGCCCCACACCTAACATAGTTGAACTCCACTATGAATACGATTGTACAGATTGAGTAAATGATATTATCAAAACATAAATTTTCTTTGCTGAATTGTTTAAATTTCTATTGAGATTATTATATAATATGAAATCAGTCAATCAGTTTTTGAATTTTGTGCAAAAAGCGATGTCTGTTCTTCTCATTCTTATTTGATCATCTCTGATACTATGTTTGTAACTAAAGGTGAATGAGAACCTACTCGACGCTTACAAATCTATATATAATATTTCAACTTATTATTTATTCATTATATAATATTAAACTAACATATAAATTAATAGATCTAATGCCTTATAAGATATGTATAGACAATTTCTTTGAATCACATAATTCAAAGTTCCTTTGTTAACTAATACAACTAATAGTGTTATCACCGTTTAAACTGATCAAAATTATTCAGTTTTATAATGATGGGAATCTTTATATTTAATTGGATTTTGAATGTAACACTTGTAACCTTTCTGTTAGGCATCTAAATTTTAGATTTCAAATCAACAATTATTTCTATAACAAAGGTGTTAGATATGGAGCTTAGATTCTTGATACACCGTGTACCACCTGAGCATTCGAGTGCTAGAATTCTCCAAATTTCAAATGAGAAAGCAGGGGACAAGTGAGAAGGAATGTCATTCCAAACAGTGTCATTATGGTACAAAACTCTCAGGTACTTATAGTTTTTAGTTAAATCAAAATCATCGTCATGGTTATCCAATAGCGAAGCTACACGTTGAAATTCTGGAATGTTTTCCCGAAAGATGATTGGATGAAAAATCTTCGTCTCTTTATGGGCTTCTTAGAGATTCCTCGAGTTCATCACAAAAAGCAACCCATGGTCTAATTGAAAAGGAATTAAGACATTTTATTTCTATTTCAAGATGATTTTACCTCTTTAATAGATTTAGTGGGATGATTACAATAGACTTACCTTGTACTAATAATTTATTCTGAAATTTATCTGTATATGCATGCGAAAATATTCTGTTATGTTTTCATTTTTTTAATTTACAAACAAAAGACAGTCCTCGAAAATAGAATTTAAATAAATGTTGGGTATTTTACCAGTGATTTCCAAAGATTATTGAGGTCGAATGGCGAGAAATCGTGTTGTTTCTGATGATGTTAGGCTTAGGATACTTGAAGGATATTTAACTGGTTAACGAAACTTCAAGCTACCACCGAGTTGAACAATCGGACGAAATATTATCAACACCCAGATATCATTTGTTTCACTTTAACAATGTGGTTAGCATAAAAGTGCATCGAGAAAAAAGTAGGAAATTGGCTGTCAAAGTGATAAAACCATTTAATTATAAAATTAGCTGTAATTGGGAACGAATACATGTTAGTTCACAAGAAAATTATAGACTGTAACTGCCTCAAAGTATCTGAATTCGGATCGATTGGCGCAGTTTCATAAAATCTAAGAACATTGTTGATTTATGTACTCCAATCAGTTGAACAGAGACCTATTACTATCGATAACGGATTTGAAAACATTTACTTTTGCAAGCATTTTAATCAATTTTTCGATTTAGACCTGGTTCGCAAACGTATTCCCTGACCGATATATATATATATATATATATATATATATATATATATATATATATATATATATATATATATATATATATATATATATATTTATAATCAGTTGATATACGTATGAAATACTATTTGGTATTCACTGAATAACTAACTTTATGCATCATCCATTCTGTGACTCGTTAACTGATCATATTTATTGTTCACACTAAGCGTTGATAGAATCATTACAACCCAAACTCCACTTTCACCACAATTCAGTGAGTGAAATGGACAATGAAAACGTTAAATAGATTTCATGCTACGATTCGGATTAATCAGTGTTCAAAGTAAATTACTATACATGAGTCACTTTTACCTAACCACTCATACTGTAGTGTATGCTACTTATGTCGACAGATATAACGAGTATGTAACAACAATCAAAAGTTGAATGGCCGGCAGCAGAAAGGGAAATAGAAAGGAATTATGAATTGGAATAATCAGATAGAATGTAAAGGACAATTGAAGCATTTAATGTACGGTTCCTTAATTTTCCAAAATATTCTGTAACTTTGTATGAAATAATGAATAGGTTGTCCCCACACTAGTCTTCGTTCATTACAATCAGTCATATCATAAAAATTAACACATCCCTACAGTGTTCTCATTTTCTTCATTATCAGAATGAAATGCATCCTTTCAAGTATGAAGGCAGAGAAAATCAAAATTCACTGAAGCTTTTGAGAATATCTTTTCTCACCTCTTTTCAACTCACCAAACACTGCAGATTGAGCGGTTCATAACACTTAAGTTTTCGAAAACAAGTAGTCAAGTCGACATATTTATGTTTTATTTATTTCTTGACCCGAATTAATATGCAGTGATTATGTAACTGCGTGTACATAATCGCATCTTAACAACAACTGTCAATTTCTTTTCAATTGCGGATTAGATTCAACAACTTGACGCCAAAATTAATTTTCCTGTCATTTCATGCTGTAGTTCATTTTGAAAATTCTTGTCTATTCGGGTTTGTACGAAGATAAAACAAACTTTTTTTATGTTTTACTTATAATCCAGAACTCTGTTGAAAGGGATACCGGAAAACCTTTAGTGTTGTTTTCAATGCAGATAAAAAATTTATTAGAAAATACCACTTAAACATCTACGTCTTAGACAAATGATTTTCATAATGATGTTGATTAATATTGAGTGGTTTGTAATATGACGATACGCTAAGAGCTGTATTCTCTTTCAAAGTATATAAAAGTTTGATATTCACTTAATGTCTATGTTGCCAGAAAGTGTATGATATTTAGGTATATCTCATTAATTTCGAGAAAAAAACTCATCATAGAATGACAAACACCGTTCAACAGACATCTAAGCATCAGTTCGCATCATACCACTAACAATATCAACATAAGCACAGCTGAATAGAAAATCTATAGAATTCGATTAATTTAGCCGATTGGAGTTAAAAAGATTGTTGTATCTTATCTTATTTTCCCAGGCTACTCATTTTCTAATTAAGTAATATCTTTTAGAAATCTATTATTTTCATGTGATTTTCATTTCCAACTGACTTATTGTACAGTTGCCTTCACGAGATAAATTGATAGTGAAGCATATCTTGGTCAGTTATAAACCTAACAATCAATATCATTTATCACTTCTGTGTGATACAAATTCGTACTGAAATAGATGATTATTAAATGTTTGAGAATAAAATTATGGATCAAATTTGTTTTCAGATTAAATTACGAAACGATTGTATGTTAGATGTAATTTACAAAAAATCACTTTCATTTGGAAATGGACTATATGAAACGAGCTATAGTATCCTTTTTTGAACTGAACGCTTCGTTTGTAAGTACATTTCTGTAATATTTCAACTCCTTGAAATGCCCATCACATCACAAAAGCATTAAAGAAGATTGGATATATTTTAGGCGACGGTTATTGCAATAAAACTTATCACAGTTAATGAATGAAAATATTTATCAGATGGTAGTACTTTTTTATCAAAAAAGGTTTTACTATGATGGTGATATAAAAAAATGAATCATATCAATTAGTCACTTTAAAATTATAAATCTGCTCTAATATTATGTTTTAATTTATAACAATCAGTATTGGATAATGTATATCCAGTATAACAAAGTTTAGGAGAATGTGGCGCAGCTTCAGTATGAACAGAATTTGGTAATTCTTGAACGGATAAATTATCATTCGTTTGAGTGGAAGTAGGATGTTCAATTATATTCTCATGAAATGATAATTCTTCATCATCATCTATATGCTTGTGAAATAAACTGGACACAGTACAATCAAGTAACGGGGAAGGTATTGTTTTCGACGGCTGAATATGACTTTCTAAATTGGTTTCATGAGACGTTGCAGTTTGTTTAGGGGAACTAATGGTTGAATATGATACTGATGGAGATCGCAGGAACTCCTGAGAGTAAATAAAAGAAATATAGTTAGTATAATTAACATAAAACATACAAAACACGTACGAATTATAACACTAAGTAAGATCCAAAAATATAAATAGGCCGTAACCTTCATTCATCTTCACTAAAAGATAATTTTTAATTCTTGATACTCTTCAATTCCAAATTCTATCTTTAGTTGATAAATAGTCAAATTGAATACGTCACTATACAACTAATAGAATTTATTTCTTTAGTTTTGATAAAGAATACATTTTTATAGTCGGAGATGATGGTGGACAGTAGTGAAATTCGGGACCTGCGTTTCATCCTATTTGGGACTTGTCAGCTGGAGGTACCTGCATGTGAGTTGATGTTCACTCAATGACTTGAACGCAGTTCCATTTGCTTCAAACGTCTTCGCGTTATCCACCTAGCTACTGAGTCCAGATAGCAACTAGCTTGTGTAATGGGGTAAAGTGAACGGTAATTAGTTCGAGTCCCAGAGTGAACATTAACTCGGATGCAGGCACATCTAGCTGACGAGTCCTTCATGGGAGGAAACGTGCGTCCCATATTTCACTGCTACCCACCATCATCTATGTTTATAATGCTTGTGACTGACGTACATATTTTCATAAGCGACTGATCAATTGCAGTCCTAAACATTAATGCAAAAATTCAAGCAACCAATGCAAAATGAACAACAACCTAAGATTTTTTGGTAAACACTGTATCATTAAATGATTCAGTCAAAGCACGGTTATCTACATATCTAGGTTCCGTGAAATTGCCGTGTGACTCAAACATCCAATATCATATCTGCTAGGGTTGAAGCTATCACGAGTTCACTCAATCTGCGAACGAGAAACAAGACTCGGTGATCAAAGACCAGTAACCTAGCTACTGATGCGTCCCAGCCGCGCTAACTAGAGTGAAAAGTCCAAGCTTGGAATGGGGAGGTATATTCTGTAAACAGCCAGAAACAAGCGATAACAACAAACACAATCCAAAACGTTTATATACAGTACAAAATCGTCCCTGGGGAGAGTTACAAAATAGCATACCAAAAGACGCAACGGACCAATAGCATTTATTATATTTCCCAGTGGGAAATACGACATGAAGGTGACAAGAGCGCTATCGTCGCGAAAACAAAGAACTTCAAATTTTCTAAATAAAATTACAAAATTAGATCCTTTCCCAAGTGAGTCCTGGGGATCTAACGTCCCTAACAATATCTGAGTTACAGGTTTAGGCATTATTTATAGAAATAAATAAATAAGAATGAGTACTAGATTAAGTGACTTTTTGTGTGTCAAAAGGAGCTCTGCTTAATTTATGCTTTGAAAACATCATGAAAATGAGGATTCTTGGGGAGTTAAGATTGAACTATAAACAGATTTCTACAATAAAGATTACTAAGATTTTTATCTGTGCTAAATACATCCAAGGTGGGCGAGAAATTCGCACACTTATAGAGTTTAGTTCATCATAAATGAATTTACAATTAAAGATTTCTACAATGGTTCCGGATTTCCAGTGGTCAAGAAAATAACTATTTACACATTCAATCAACTTTCATCAACCTTTTAAACAAGGTTATCAATACATTTGAAATGTCACATAGCTTATCAAAAAAAAAGAATAATACCTCAGTAATGTCGAGTGACAGCTTTTCCTCTAACCACAGCTCCTTGAAATAAACAGACCGTAGTTTTAGAATTGACAATTTACAAAGTCTATTCGTAAGAGTTAATACTTTAGTTATATATTACGTAACACAAAGAGTTACACCAGTTATCTAAGTACATTTACTCATAAAATTTATGCGTCTTACATGATGTACACATTAAAACACTAATACAGGCTATAAATTTAAAAAAGCTATTTATTTTTCTATTTGTTATTCAGAGAAAAATGGACAACAAAAGGTTGAATTGAATTCATATCGACTAGTTTTTGTTTTCACAAATACTCTTTAATACAGTTATGATGCTAAAGTATTTCATCAGATGAGTGTAAACTATTGTCTGAAACATCGTTAACTGATCGTTTCACTTTTTGAGAAATATGTCAAGACAAAATATAATTTATTTATTGAGATGAATAAATGCAATTCTATTATTTATTCTATTGTTATGCATAATATGTATTCATATAATGAACTTCAGAATTGTTTTCTATTAAGCAAATATAAATAGTGGCTAACAGTGGAATCCATGACTGGTGTTTCGGTCTATTTCAGACTCATCAGCTGGATGTACTTGATTAAAAATCTTGTAACTTGAGGCTATATTGAGGCAATCCGCACAGAATACATATATGCCAATAAGAAACTGATCAATTTCAGTCCTAAATAACAATCGGAAGATACAATTAAAACTACAACAACTGAATTGTTTTCTATTGTTTATTCTAACACTTACTGTTAAGTATTTAGATAGAACTAAAAGTTGATTTTGGATTATCTAAAATACATTTTATTAAATTAAATGAAACAATCACAAAACACTGCTGTTTATTTAGTAAAAATTGTAGTTAGTGTTTAATTGAATTGATTATAATGAATTAATTTCAACTATTTAAATATTCAAACCATGATTATTCAAGAATAAAAAATAATAAAAGAAATCTGACAAAATATAAATGTAATAAATAGTATGGAACATATTCTCTATCAATCTATTCAATTTACCAAAAAATAGTCTTCTTATTTGATTACATTTCATTATAATTAAGTACATGTAACCAAATGGTACTATTCAATTATCTCTTGCCCTCAATGAAATGAATCAATCGAAAATAATGTATTCTAATATGTAAATAATCGTGACATCAATCAGTTGAGAAGTTAGTAATAAATAGGTAATGTATTGTGTGATACTGATATCGACAGATATCGAAAGTGGAATACCTGGTGGCAGAATATTTGGAAAATCGAAGAAAACAGTACGAAAACTGAGAGTGATTGGTTTGGAAACGAAGGAATAACAAAGTCTGAGATAATGGATGGATATTTTGTAAATGAAGTATTTACCAAGATATTCTGCAATGTTGTATTATCAGAAATAAGGACGTGTTGCCTTTTTATCTACAATGAATTGTTAAATATCGGTTCAACAAAAATATATCTATTATGAAAGCAGAATTGGCTGACAAATCCAAAAAAGGATGAAACGCGCGTCCTGGATTCCACTGCTAGCCATGATCCATCTTTGCTTATAATGCTTGTGAATTAAAACAATATCAAGGCAGTATGCAATGTATGCACATCAATGAAAAGTTCCAAGTAAACAACACCAAGTGAATTTAGATTTATTTCTCCTTCTAAAAAGTCATTTAGATCACTGATATAAATTAACTGATCGAAAATAAATTGGGAAAAAGATTTTAAGATGATCGAATTCATTCAATGCAAAGTCAACAAAGAAACTGTAACAAATAAATAAAGATAATGATAAAATGGGTGACAAAATTCAATCATTTTCTTCTATTGTTATTTGATTTATTGAAAGAAATAATCCATTGAAATCAATGAAAGTATTCATCTTTTTGAAATAATAAGTTCAATTGAATATGATAGTCTTAGTCAAGTGTCACATTGCAAAGAATGATAAAATTATTCTAATTAAATGTGAAAACTTAACTTGACTAAAATGACTTTTGTATTTCAGACACTAAATATACTTAATAAGTGATTCAAATTCCCTTAACTAAAATGTAACTCAGTAACTACAAGATTGTATAGTATTGGAGTATCAAATTAGGACGAAGTAATTATTAAGTGCTATGTGATTTTTATTTGTTTTTTGTATAAATTCAATCAATGATTCAGACCATCTTCACAACAAATAATTTTTTAGGAACTTCTCTTATAATCAAGAGTGTAAATATCTAGTTATGGCGTTTTGCTAATTAAATAATACAGCATTGTTCATTACATCCTAGAGAAATTGTTCTATTGAATACATTTGACTGACTGACTAACTAACTACTAGTTATTACCCTGTTATGGTTAGCGGTATGGTAGATTTGAATTATTATAAATCAGTTAACTGAAAACAATGATTGAGTATCTATTATTTATTGTGTTTATGATTAAAGTCTGTATGGGACTTTGGTGGCCCGATATCTTACTCCATTTAAATCGTATTATGATTGTTATTGAAATATACACATGGCCAATCCTCGAATATAATTATCGGCATATTCTGCGTTAGAGGATAACGAAATTAAATAAGTAAAATACGAGAAGAATTTCGAATACGTATACATTATACAATCGTTGATCCAGAAAAACGCAATCGGAGAAACGAAATGAAGAAAGCAAATATAGCAAAGAGAAGAGAGCGAAGCGAAATGACGCCCACTGAAGAAAGCATGTAAGCCAGCTCGATTCAATCAAGCATGAATCGATATTTATAACACGATAAAATATGTTACAGATATGTGATGATTAAGATTTTTAAAAAAGCACATGTATACGCTTACATAAAAGCAGTCAAGGTGACAAAGTCAATATATGGTTTAGGAAAAATGAATAGATTGGTCTATTCAGAAACTAGAATAACCCATGTATGCTCGACATAGGGTCATTCATCACAGAACTATGAAAAGAGTTTTAATGAGCTAACAATTATTTAAACACATTTTATCTAGTTGTACAATATAAAAGATGATACACTTAAGTGATATGTAATAAATGAACATTTTGATGGAGTTTTGTTCTCAGAGCTAGATGGTTTGGTCGTGTAACTTTCATCGACAAAAGAACAAAACTCCATCAAAATGATCCACCTTAGCTACAAATATTCTCTACCATCAAATGAAACATTTTTTTCTTATTTCGTCCCATAACTATGTAAACAAACATTTAGGATTATCTCAACACTAAATAATATTTGTTTTTGTAATCGAAGATCATTAACGTTTGTCATTATTGTTATTAGTTTCTTCTATTAAACTAATTTCATGAGAAAAATAAAGGAAGAAGAGATAAAACATTTCACCATCTGTGTTT